ACTGAATACCTCCTTACTTGCAGGAGGCGGGGGTTATATCTTATTACTGAATACCTCCTTACTTGCAGGAGGCGGGGGCTATATCTAATTACTGAATACCTCCTTACTTGCAGGAGGCGGGGGCTATATCTTAATACTGAATACCTCCTTACTTACAGGAGGCGGTGCAGGAGGCTCAGGCGCAGGTGACCCTTCTGCAGCAGAAGCTCGCGTCCAACGAGGGCGTGGCTGCTGACCTAACAGCTGCAACCCGCCAGATAGAGGATATTAAGGTGACCATAAGGTGTAAAGTGACCATATGACTATAAGATGAGTTTAAAATGTCACCAGACGTTCGCCGCAATTTTTCAGTGTTGTCAGAGTGCTCGCGCTCTGCGACCAAACGCCGGTAACTATCTTGTTAGAAAACCGATCTAAATAAAGTTTGTGCCACGGTTCAGAGCACAGTCACACAATCTATCGCAGAGGCTCAGGCACTAGATCATTAGTGAAGCTATAGAGCAGAATGAGCTTAGTTAGAACCTTACCTTAGAGCTGACAGGAAACAATTGACTCCCGGACTCACAGCTACTCTGACCTGACCTCGCACTACGAAGCTGCTGCTGAAGTAAGGGCGGCTACGGCAGTCGGTACATACTAATCACACTTTCGGTACATACTAAAACAAATGCACATGAAATGAATAAACGAATGCTGGTAATAAAATGACTGATAACAGTGAATAATCACCATCGTTCATAAACTTGAGCACAAGATTTAAGATGGCTATAAGAAGAAGATGGCATGACTATAAGAATTGTCTTCTGTAGTACACCTAATGCCTGAGATAGCCGAATTTCTAATCTGAGGCTGGAGGTGAGTTGTGCCGCGCCTGGTATGAGCGTGAGACTGGCCTTGTAGGGCGTCAAGATTAATATAATTATATGGACTGTAGTTGATTGCATATTGGAATTAATAATTGTGATTATATTGGTCATAATTTGGAGTGTATTGGAACGGGAACACTATTATAACATAGGTCATAGTTTGGAGGGTATAGGACCTGATTATTTTTGTGACAGTGTACTGGCTATTTACTAGTTATTACATTATTTCTGCTTCAATTGATGACCATGATTATTTGTATGAAGGTGGACAAGCAGGAGGTGGAGCGCAAGCTGCAGGAAGCTCTGCAGGAGGCTTCAGGTCTGCAGCGCGAGCTGCAGGAACGCGACGTGCAAATCACCAAACTGCAGGAGGTGCGCTCATTACCCCTTAATTACTTTTCAACTCTTAATATTACCCCTTAACCCTTACAGGAGCAAAAGTGTACAGTTGCATAGGTGCAACTATTCCTATACTCGGTATGTCGGTGTGAAATTTTGCTGTCTTAGCAGTCCTAGAAGGATTTTAAGTAAGAATATCATCGATGACGGTTAGAGTGTACAAAAGGTTAAGAGGTTTATAGACGGCGTCCTTTGTGCTGCAGGGCACGGCGCTTCTGGAGGAGCTGTGCTGGGGTAACAGGTTAACATACTAAAGGTTAAGAGGTTAATGAGGACGTCCTTTGTGCTGCAGGGCACGGCGCTGCTGAAGGATCTATGCTCGGAGCAGGACGAGCAGCTGGCTCAGCTCGACACGCTCGACGAGAGGATGCAGCTGCAACGCCAGCAGCGGTACTTAATATTAAATCTTTATCTCAACTGTTATAATTATAATTATATAATTTATATCTCAAATGATATATTCTTTATGTTCAATTAAATGTTCACTAGGCCAGTCAAGCATTCATAACATCGATATTGGACACAGTGTCGCCGTGCCTGCCATGGGTTGAGACCGCACAGCCCTGCTGTGCGCCACCAGTCACGACGCCTCGTATATAAATATAAACCTCGCTTTTAAAGTCCCTGTACAAATTCTCACATGGTTATCAACAGTTAGTTATTAGTTAACAATTATTTAATATCGAAATGCACTCCTTCTAGAATTTCTGTTCTCAGCTGTTGATATTAACTCAGCTGTTGAGTGAAACTTATTTCTGTGAATACTTTCTTTATGTAGTGTTATGTTTTCTGAATCTGTGAAACGTTTCGTTGCGTTTATTAATTATTTGGAGGTGTTGAATGCAGGGAAAAGCTGGAGGAGCAAGTGCAGAGTCTGCAGTGCGAAGTGAAGGCAGCCAAAGCTCAGGTCAACGAGGAGAAGTCTCTGAAGGTTTTCCAGGAGCGGCAGGTTAAGACACTGCAGGCGCAGCTGCAGCAGCAGGAGGCTACGCACCAGCAGGAGCAAGACGCCCTCAACAAACACTGCGACGAATACGCGGCCAGCAACAGTAAACTGCTGCTTAGGGTGAGTCATTAGGAGCAAACTGCCGCTTAGGGTGAGTCATTAGGAGCAAACTGTTGCTTAGGGTGAGTCAGTAGGAGCAAACTGCTGCTTAGGGTGAGTCATTAGGAGCAAACTGCTGCTTAGGGTGAGTCATTAGGAGCAAACTGCTGCTTAGGGTGAGTCATTAGGAGCAAACTGCTGCTTAGGGTAAGTCAGTAGGAGCAAACTGCTGCTTAGGGTAAGTCATATCCTCGTTTGACGACGAATCCCACTCAGTAATCCTCGTTTGACGACGAATCCCATTCAGTCATGGAGCAAACTGCTGCTTAGGGTGAGTCATTAGGAGCAAACTGCTGCTTAGGGTAAGTCAGTACGAGCAAACTGCTGCTTAGGGTGAGTCATTAAGAGCAAACTGCTGTTCAGGCTGTTTATGTGTTAACAGCTCTGGCTTATAGGGAGTGATCTATGTCTAACGACCACACGATCGCAATTATATGTATGACTGTTTTGTGTACATGATAGTTCATTAAATCTCCTTCAATATAGTATCATATATCGTTCTTTGATGTATTTGTGCAACTGCGTGTGCAGCTGAGTGAGCTGGAGAAGGAGCTGTTCAGCACCGAGGCGACGGTGCAGGCGCTGGAGGAGAGCGCTGAGGTGCAGAAAGAGCAGCTGGAGGCGCTGCAGCAGGAGGCACAGGGACACATTAAGCACATCCAGGCCCTCAAGGACACAAACTTTCAGCTAACGCAGGGACTGGAGGAGGCCATAGAGAAGGGGCAGCTGTACAAGAGGAAGATGACGGAGCTGGCAGGTTTGTAGGGTCTGTTGGGGGCTGCAGGAGCTGGCCGGTGTGTTGGGTGCTGATGAACTAATGTCGCACAATTTACTATTGATTTTTGTTCACAGCTTCTTTTGATAATAGTCATGGTGTCAATAACTTGTTTATATGCCATAATTCTGCTCCATATTAAGAACTGCTGGCTGGTTTGTATCCAGTCTGCCTGAGTATCAGCGCGACGCTTGTCATATTCCGTAACCGGCGCCACCACCACTTCAGGAACTCAGTAGTACATGTGTGGATAATTGGTACAATTAAATGCTCACGATAATGACGGTATATTGAATGACTTCCGCCGCAGGCCATCTCGAGGAAGAGCGCGAGGTGATGCGAGACAAAGAGCTTAGGACGAAGATGACGACCGAGCAGCAGACGAAGCTGATAGACTTCCTGCACGCCAAGCTCGACGACAGCAACAAGAAGAAGAGCAGGGTGGGTTGGGAGGGGGAGTTGCCACGTGATTCTGGCTAGGCACTATATTGTGGCTAAAATTACATTACGGAAGTTGAGCTTATAATATGGCATGAATAATGGACATGTTGTGTTACAGACGCTGTCTTCCAAGCTGTTCGGTGGGCGTGACAAGGAGAACCAGAGCCTCACCCCCTACAAGTCTCGTTCCCACCTTCCCACCCCCGACAAATGCACGCTAGCCACCACCCCTCACCCCAACGCCACGCCGCTGCAACACTCCAAGCTCCTCAAGACCTCCTCCACTCCCCCCCAGTCCCACAAAACCCCATCTACCCTCTTACCCCAGTCCTCACTCAAGCCCCCCGTTGCCAAAACTTCATCTGCTCAGTTTGCAACTCCCATGAATGAGTTCAAGACTCCCAAAGTCGACTTAAGGACTCCCAAAGTTGATTTCAAGACTCCCAAAGTTGGCACCAGCAATGCAAGTGTGGCAGCAGGGGCAGAAGGCACCCCCACCACGGGCAGGAGCAGAGAGCTGGCCAGTCGCCAGCGCATCCGGCACGATATCCCACATAGGTGCGGGTTTATTGTTTTAGACGCTTAAAACGGTATATTTTTCTCTTATAATTCAGTGTCTCCCAAACTGAGTGAACATTTTTCTATGGGTTAAATATCCTTTTTGAATGGAAGTTGATGTGTAACTGGAATAAATTTGCACTTGCATGAAAGCCGACAACATTTGTGTTATGTGTAGGGGCAACTTGCTTACTGTCAACTGTCATATTTTGGTTGCAGACCATAGATGTAATTAATACGTTTATGAGTGACACCTAAAGTCTACAGTCATGCTTAGTGTCATTTGTATCCCTAGACAAAAGGTGTAACTAACACGTTTATGAAGAACGCCTTTAGTCTATAGACATGCTTAGTTTCGTACTATATCCGTAGACTAAAGGTGCTACTCATAAACATGTTAGTTATACCTTATGCCTATAGACACAATATGAAAATAAACAGGTAGTATCTGTAGACAAAGTTGTGTCTAACATGTTTATGAGTGAATAGCAAGCTATTTATATTGACAGGTTCGAGCGCAGCATGATCGTGCAGGTCGGCCGGTGTTCAGGGTGTCTGTCTAGCGTGCCCCGCGGGAGGTTCGCTTACCGTTGCAGCCACTGCGGTGCGGTGGCCCATAAGCACTGCACCACTGGGGTGCCTGCGACCTGTGGATTACCACAGCAACTGGCGCAACACTTCACCCACAACACGCAGACGGCCAAAGTCCTGCATGAGGGATGGGTTAAGATACCCAAGTGAGTCAGATGCTGCGTGGTGCGTGAGGGAGGTGGCTGTAATTACCTCGTTATTTTGTCGTCATAGATGCTGCCATAAATTACGCAAGATGCGAACAGAACATAGAAGATTCGTGTGGATATTAATTAAAAAATTTTAATTTTTGTTTTAGTTTATCCAACTTTATTTTTGGTGGCCTTGATAGAATGCCATATTCGTGCAGGGCCAGCAAAGCCTGCTGGGAGTTCTGCTTCACCAGGCTGCTCTCCAACGGAGACTTGCTGGTGTTCGATCACGAGCCTAGCGACGCCGGCGACTGCAGCCTGGCTGCTCCACCATCTTGCAACGCACCTACCTCTGCAGCAGGTGTTTCAGAGCTGCAGCCTACCTCCACCATCTCACTGTGCGTGCCCAACTGCAGGCTGGAGGTGGTGTCTGCTGTGCCCAGGTCGGAGATACCAGCTACTTCTACCGTCGACCTGCCATATGTGTTCAAGGTTCGTATTCCTAACTTGTACTATGTACACAAGGTGCATACCTAACCTGCCCTACGTGCTCAAGGTGAGTACCCGACCTGCATAGCCACTAGTGTGAGACTCTAACCGTGAGGGTGAATACTCCTCCATCAGGGCAGGAAAGCCCATATGCCACCCTGTATACATGCACATGACGTGCCTATACATATGTCCAAGTACGACTTTAAGCTCGTAGTAAACCTGAGCAAACGTTTGCTAGTTGAACGAATTTTTACTTGCTAACCTAAAACTAAATTATAATTTATGTGTATTCATCATTTGGATGGTCGATAAGTTGATTTGATAGTGTGAGCCTTAAAAATAACATATGAAAAGCTCAACATATTCTCCTTCTATTTATTTGGTGACATGACTCATAATGTGTTGTGGTGTGGCAGGTGGACGTCCTGCGCGGCTACCAGCAGTCCATCGAGCGCCTCTACCTCATGACGAGTAACTTCGAGCAGAAGCAGCGCTGGGTCGCCGCCCTTGAGCATGTCGCCCAACAGGTAGGGTCGCCGCCCTCGAGCATGTCGCCCAACAGGTCAGGGTAACCGTGTCGTCCATCAGACAGCGGGACGCCATTGTATGAGCCGTGTGCGTGTGATCAGCAGTAACCTGAAACTGGGCATGCTCCCAGTTTCATGTTGCGTATTTCCTCTGTCATGGCCGTGGGAGTCTTCTGTTCTTGGAGTAATATGTCCTATCAGCTGCCAGGTCAACAGAGTAGTAGTAGTAGTAGGGGGAAGATTTCTAGCACTTCAGATCAGTTTCGTCTATTTCGCGCCGAAGGTGCAGTATTCAGTTTTACAGGGTCAGGTTTCTTTGTTGGTTTTAGGCTCGCAGCCTGATTCATCTGGTCATGGGTGTATGCTTCTCTGTTTCTTAGGCGCAGGTTCAATCCGTCTTCTGTCGTTTCATCTCAACCAGTAATGTGCTGAAACGAATGTGTTTTGTCGAAGGTGTGGGTCTTTTCTGACCTATGTCATGGTGCCGTGCTAGATATCCGGCAACAGGTGACATTCGATTAGATATTGTCTAAGATTGTCAGTTCTAAAGATGCTTCGGGGAACTTCCCTCAGCATCCTAGACAGCATTTCATTTGGGCTCAACAAAGGCCGTAGTATCAAAAATAGTCATGATTTCGTATCTCCCGCAGCCAATAACTGACGGCTCTTCAAGCTAAACCTCCCCAATAACAGACCGAAAGTTCGCCGCTACGTGTATTTGGGCTACTCTGAGAACTTTAGCTTGTTTTGATAGCATGGCCCCAAATCTCTTATGCTCCTGCCTGGAGTGTAGATTGCTCTAGCCTTTGCTGACAAGTGTCATGAGGTGTTATGTCTTATGTTACTAGGTGTTAATATATTGTTTATTAAATATTATGATATTTGTTACGAAGGTATAAGTTAAAACTATGAGTTGTTATGTGCAGTGTGGTGACAGCGTGAGCGTGACAGGCGACAGCAACGTGAGAGTGCTGCCTCTACTGCAGCTACCAGCATCTTCCCTCACCCCCAACACACTCATCTTCATCCATGATGACGTAAGTAGTAGTTTTTTCTCTAAACATCTTTTTTCTAAATAGGTACTATTGATCGCTATAATTTCAATGCTTGCATCCACGCGATTTCGGATTGTGAAAAGTGGCATGCCATCAACAACTCCATGCCCTGTTCACCCTCAGTGTTTGCTATGAGCTGCGTTTCTCAGATGGGTTTGCCGTATGCATAAGTTCACCTCGCTCAAGCAGGTGTGCCTGCTGGGGTGCGAGGAGGGACTGGTGTCCTGCAGCGTGGAGGGGTCGGGAGAGCTCCTGAAGAAAGCGCGGCTGGGGAGCCTGAGTGCCGTGCAGCAGCTCCTGGACATACCCACTGCCCAGAGGGTGGCTGTTATCGCTGGTAGGGAGGAGGGAGGGGTGTTGCTACTGAACGTGCCTACTGATTGGCGCTGATGGATGATGGCTCAGTTAATTGTAATCATCGCCTTCCATTGCGATGCAGGAACGAATGCAACTTGATTATCGCGGCACGTGCAAGAAAAGCTGTACGTGCGGTAGTATTTGGTGAGGCGGGCACACTGACTGTAAATAATCTGGACGGCTTAGAGTGAAATGAAAAGTTGATATTGTTAGTCTGATTAGAGGAAAAGAGTAATGCTTTATGCAACTACCATATAAATAGTTCATAGGGCGCAATAATAGTCATTTGTTGCTGCCAACCCTCAGGGGAGGACCGTAGCGTGTACTTGCTGCCCCACGCGACGCTGCTGGGGGCGGCCCGCCACTGCAGCGCCGACGAGCCCAACGTCCCCCACGAGGCCGTGGCTGCCCTCAGCGGCGTCAGGTGCCACCTGCTCGCCACTGGCGTCACCACCAACGGCGCCACCTTCATGTGTGCCGCTGCTGAGGACAGGGTCAGGTGAGGCCACCACCAGCTTGTGACGTAGGGCACTGCCGTGTGACGTAGGGCACTGCCTTGTGACGTAGGGCACTGCCTTGTGACGTAGGGCACTGCCGTGTGACGTAGGGAACTGCCGTGTGACGTAGGGCATTGCCTTGTGACGTAGGGCACTGCCGTGTGACGTAGGGCACTGCCGTGTGACGTAGGGCACTGCCTTGTGACGTAGGGCACTGCCGTGTGACGTAGGGCACTGTCTAACGACTTGACACTGCCTTACGACAATAGGCACGAGCCACATAATGCAGTACAGCGCCTCACTCTCGCCCGTCAGGCCCTGAAGGAGCAGCTGGTGAAGGAGCGCGCCGACCGCGCGGCCATGGAGACGCGCACTCTGGCCCTTGTGCGGGACATTAAAGCCAAGTGGAAGAAGGAGGAGGAGCTGAAGCTGGGGGCGCTGAAGGAGGAGTGTGAGGTGAGGGATAAGTGGAAGGGGGATTGTCGGTTGAGGGAAAAGTTGAAAGAGGATTGTGGGTTTAGTAAAAAGTGGAAGGAGGATTGTCGGTTGAGGGAAAAGTGGTGAGGACAGCGCGTGCATTGCCTAGCAATAAACGTTTTTTCAGCTGTGGAAGGAGACGCTGCGAGATGAACATCAGAAGGTCATTGAGCAGACCACGGAGATGCAGCACCTGCAGCAGCAGCAGAGCGTCCTGCAGCAGCAGCTGCAGCACTGCAAGCAGCAGGCCAGGCAGAAGGTAATAAGCAGCGCTGCTGTATGGGCCGTAGGTCGTCTTATTGATAGAACTTCTACAGTATCTATGATATGTAACACCTGGAGCAACGTTCTCAAAATATAGACATTTGTACAATTACACTCATCTTCTCTTCAGTTGAGAAGTTGCTCTATCACATGCATATATTAGCTTCTACAATATGTTTGAACATTCATTCACCGCTTCATTCACTTACTAGTGCGAAATCCTAGTCTCCAAGTATATATGCTAACTTCATTTCATTTGTCATGAACTTCTTCAATTGATGCATTTTAAGAGATAATTGATATATTTATCTTTTAATGCTGATGAAAATGCTGTAATAACTAAGAAATATTTATTTCTAAAAATTTCTTCTTTTTGTTAGAAGGCGAAAAACAGTACAAACTGGTGTCCCATAGGGGCCCTACATTTCTCACATTTACACCCGCAATCATCTTGTCGAGCCGAGTTACCGCCGAGAGGTTAAGATCTCGTCAAATTCTGTTTCATTCAGGACCAGGAGATAGTGAAGCTTAAAGAGCAGCTCACCAGCCTGAAGGAGGCGGCGACCGCCACGGATGCGGCCACCAGCGACCTCGCCCTCACCAAGGCCGCGCTGGCGACCACCACGGAGGAGCGCGACGTCCTGCGGGACCGCGTCGCGCTGCTCGAGTCCCAGTGGGATGAGAAGGTGGCGCTGGAAGCTCGGGAGGACAAATTGACCGAGCTACAGGCACAGAGAGACAGGATATCCGCGCTGGAGGCCGAGTTGTCCCACATGCAGAAGACGCTGGACGAGACAGAGACCAAGTCGTTCGAAGAGATGCAGCGCATCACAGAGACACACGATAAGGTTAGTGTAGAAATGGTGGGACTCTTGCTCTCTAGTCACGTCTGACTGGGCACTCAACAACCTTGTTGGTGCAGTGCTGTTAACAATATGCCTGCACATCTACACTGGTAAAAAAAACGGTCTCACCGGCATTAAAGTGGCCGGCCGCTACGTGAAAATAAACTGTTTATCCGTTTTTCAGATGTAAGGTTTTCTAGTGTTAAATTTTAATAAAAACGGCCATACGGTGTTTCTTTTCACGTGTCGGCCGGCCACCAGAACGCTATGGAGACCGTTTAACGGCGATTGTTGTAACAGTGTATTATTTGAGAGATCAATAACGCTTTAGGACATAGGTTTCACGATTTTTCAGCTTGTTTATTTAAAGTTCACATTATGCATTTATAGCGTACGTAACGACCTTAGGATATTTTCTCCTCTTCATTTTTTCCAAAATGGATAGATAAGTGAATAAATTTATCCCCAGCATCAGAACTACTGCGTTTAGATAGAGTGTAAGTGGCAGAAGTGCAAGCTTTTATAGAGGGAGCTACGGGTGACTCCTTTCAGAGCGCGACTGCTTGCCGTGGTTGGAGGTGCTGAGTGCGGCCGCTCTCTTAATTAATAAGGGCGCCTGTAGGTCGGGAACAGCTCCTCATATTCATGGTGGTTCTTGCTTAACGCGGCTTCGTCTTGCAGGTGATCGCAGTGAAGCAGGCGCTGGTACAGGAGCTGCAATTTAACCTAAAAGTAGAGCGGCAGGAGCGCAGCCAGCAGAGCGCGCAGCTACGTCTCCTGCAGCAGCAGGTGCAGGAGGCGCGAACCAGCCAGGCGCAGATGGCTACAGAATTGCAGGTGGTGCAGGAGAGCAAGCACGAGGAGCTACAGGCGGTCAACAAACAGCTGGACGCGACGCAGCATTTGCTGCAGGAGGAACAGCGCAAGGCGCAACATAGCGCCACGCAACTGCGTTAGTCATCTACTCATCTTTCTACTGCCTTAGGCATATTAACAGTTAAGGTGGTAGTAACAGTTATCTTTGTAGTAAATATCTCTCTCTGAGCTGCCAGTGAAGGTTTTCAGCTGCCACAGTCAAGGCGGTGCTAGTTTTCAAAGACCATTCCATTGTCTACATGAGAATTCAGTTCAATCTAGGCCTGGCTTGTCACGCACTCTGGTGTCAGCATCTTCGTTTTTGTGGGTCAGCAATAAGTTTAGAATCGTGCAAACTCGTGTAGCATCCTCTCCTGCTTGCCGTATAACAATGCCTTCATGATTGGGAGTTCAATAGCAGTGAACCGGGGATCTCATCTAACCAAGGGTGACGTTTTTATCATGAATCAATCGCTGCATCTCTTTATTGAATCTCTTTGCATTAATATTATAGTCTCTTTGAAGCTGTAGATAAAATCTAGGATTTTTTACTTCAGCCGCAGTGTTATTAATAGTGATTTTAACTCTGACGTTGCAGAGCTCTGCGAGGAGCGCGTGGCAGAGTTGCAGAGCGCCATGAAAGAAGCAGAGGCCCGCAGAGCAGAGCGGCAGCAGAGTGGTTCAGAGCTGCAGAGTCTAGCAGAGCAGCTGAGCAGAGCGAGAGAGGCCGCTGCCAGAGCTGAAGAGAACGTCAAGATCACTTCAGAGCTGCTAGAGCAGGTGAGGTGATGTGCTTGGAAACGACCGAGTAGCTTCTGCTCCGAACTAAATAAGTAAAACAGTGATAAAAGCAATCATTGAATGCTTTGGAATAACCAAATTCAGTAAAAACATTCAATGCAGTTGATAAGTTATGTCAGTCAAAGTATGTGTCTTTTTTATGGTGTAATTTGCTCTTCCCTGTGGCCTCTGGGGCGAGTATATCAAAATTTTGATGAGCAATAGAAAACCTGCTACTACCAATGACACCAACACATCGCCTACACGTAACACGCATCACCTACATGTAACACACATCACCTACACGTAACACGCATCACCTACACGTAACACGCATCACCTACACGTAATACGCACCACCTACATGTAGCACGCACCACCCACACGTAAGACGCAGCGCCTGCTCGTCACCAACATCTATGTTCCACATCACTACCAAGTCACCAACAGTTGGCTTCTGTGTCACCAACACATCACTAACTGCTATCTAAACGTTCCATGCCTTGGCAGGAGCGCTCCTTGGCGTCACGGCTGCGTCTAGACGTGAAGGTGGCAGAGCGCGAGCTGCGGGGCGCGCGGGAGAAGATAGACTTGTTGCGGGAGTGTGCCCGTGACAACAGGGAGGCTCTGAAGAGTGGGCAGGTGAGTTGCAGGGGGCGCGGGAGAAGATAGACTTGTTGCGGGGATGTGCCCGTGACAACAGGGCGGCCTTCAGCACTGTTGTGTGCTGTACATACAACAGGGCGGCCCTCAGCACTGTTGTGTGCTGTACATACAACAGGGCGGCCCTCAGCACTGTTGTGTGCTGTACTGTACCTGTCTCTTATACACATCTAGATGTGTATAAGAGACAGGGTGAGGACAGGGTCAGGTGAGGCCACCACCAGCGGCGCCACCTTCATGTGTGCCGCTGCTGAGGACAGGGGTCAGGTGAGGCCACCACCAGCGGCGCCACCTTCATGTGTGCCGCTGCTGAGGACAGGGTCAGGTGAGGCCACCACCAGCAGTGCCACCTTCATGTGTGCCGCTGCTGAGGACAGGGTCAGGTGAAGCCACCACCAGTGGCGCCTTCATGTGCTCCGCTGCTTTTGAAGTTATAATACAAATTTTGATAAAACTCAGACTTTAGGTCTAGTACAGAAATAAAGTTTCGTTTGTCAGCATGGTTCAAATGCCTGCATGAAGTTATTATTGATTTTATGTTGTGCAGCATCTTGGTCTGGGACACAAGCAGCAGCCAGCTGCAGGTGGTGCGGCAGTACGGCACCCAGGAGGCCTGCACCAGCTGTCTCTTCACGCCAGCTGCCCTCATCGTAGCCGCGGACAAGCTCTACGAGATCGACCTCACCAGCTTCAGCATTGAAGAGTTCCTTGATGAGAGCGACACGTCGCTGGCGTATGCGGTCTACGGCACCGCTCGCCTCAGCTCTTATCCCCTGGCCATACTGCAGGTGCTCTACTGCAGGTTGCTCTGCAGGTGCTCTACTGCAGGCTGCTCTGCAGGTGCTCTACTGCAGGCTGCTCTGCAGGTGCTCTACTGCAGGCTGCTCTGCAGGTGCAGGTGCTCTCCTGCAGGCTGCTGTGCAGGTGCTCTCCTGCAGGCTGCTGTGCAGGTGCTCTCCTGCAGGCTGCTGTGCAGGTGCTCTCCTGCCGGCTGCTCTGCAGGTGCTCTATTGCAGGCTGCTGTGCAGGTGCAGGTGCTCTCCTGCAGGCTGCTGTGCAGGTGCTCTACTGCAGGCTGCTGTGCAGGTGCTCTACTGCAGGCTGCTGTGCAGGTGCTCTACTGCAGGCTGCTGTGCAGGTGCTCTCCTGCAGGCACGACACGTCCACGAGAGGACGTCCGACGACACGTCCACGAGAGGACGCCCTACGAGACGTCCACGAGAGGACGAGGCTGCTGTGCAGGTGCTCTGCTGCAGGCTGCTGTGCAGGTGCTCTACTGCAGGCTGCTCTGCAGGTGCTCTCCTGCAGGCTGCTCTGCAGGTGCTCTACTGCAGGCTGCTCTGCTGGTGCTCTCCTGCAGGCTGCTGTGCAGGTGCTCTCCTGCAGGCTGCTCTGCAGGTGCTCTCCTGCGGGATGCTCTGCAGTTGTTCAGGATGCTGTCTAAGTGCTACATGTTACCCTGCTTGCGCTTTACTTCTGAGTGGTCTGAAGACCCTCAGCTCTACTACAGGGGGTTGTGCATGTGCTTTGACTGTATTATGCCGGCGCTCTATCTCCGTGTATTGTGCTGGGGCCCACTGTGGCAGTAAATGCTACGCTCTTTTATTCAATATATCTTCAAGGTATTCTCTGTGCTCTGATTGTCTAGAAACTCATCGTCAAGATCCCAGTTTAAAGCGATGGACCTAGTGAATTTTCATGTTCATCAGGGCTATGTTGTTAAGCTTGAACATTTTCCTGGTTTCTGTAAGAACACTCAAATTGATTAATAAAAAAAAAATTCAATTGTGAAAGTTTATCATTCATTTTAAGGCGTTGAGTGATTCTCTTTTGGAATTAAATCCCATTTTGGTTGCGGATTTAATCTTTAGAACATTATGCTTATTACAGTGTTGTAGTTTGGACTAACTTTTAGGTATGAAAATTCTGTTAATTCTCAATTTGACAGTCCTGATTAGTTGATTGATCACCTGCTATTATTTAGGATAATCTATTAAAGTCAATAGTTGTTTGTTATAAGGAAGCATCTGGGATGGCAGCTAGGAACAAATAAATCTGAGTTTGTGCTAATCCTTCCAATTGATCGTCTGTGTTCTTGTAGATCGTCTGTGTTCTTTGATATTTTATTACTTTTTATGAGACGAAGCCTTCGCCAGGTGTCGGAGAGCGGCAAGTATGGCGAGTTTCTGATCTGCTTCAACGAGTTCGCTTTGTTTGTGGATCCTTACGGCCAGAGGTCCAGGGAGCACGACATCAAGTTCACCAGGGTGCCCATTGCAATAGGTGAGTTCCCTACGTCAAGATATCAACTTCACCAGGGTGCCCATTGTGATGGACGAGTCCCCTGTGAGTGGTGAGGTGACATCACAAACGAGTCTAACTCATAGGTTTGTGTGCTTGCTCCGTTTCCAGCGTTATTTTTTTTTAACTAACGTGTTTAACACCTGTATTTTATTAGGAATTTTAGTTCAAAGCCTTGTATCATTGAGGAGCAAAGCAAACTTTTGGCATTTTTAATCTTGGAATTTACATAATTGAATTGTTTGAAATTTTTGCACTTCTGATTCTGATTTCTGTGACTGTTGTGTTCTGTTGTGCAGAATACTGTGACGGGAAGCTCTATCTTCTGCACTCCAACTGCATTGAGGTGCTCAGGATCACCAGTGACAGTTTCACCAAGGTGCGTCTGCTTTACCACCAAGGTGCGTCTGCTTTACCACCAAGGTGCGTCTGCTTTACCACCAAGGTGCGTCTGCTTTTGGTGGTTCCACGCAGACGAGCACCACCAAGGTGCGTCTGCTTTACCACCAATGTGCGTCTGCTGCACCACCAAGGTGCGTCTATTGTACCCTCCCCTCTTCGCCTCCCTGCCTCTTACTGTTCAGTCTTCAGTCGCGTGTGTTGGTGCGCTCTCAAGCTTCATGTTAGTCCTCGTGCTTGTCAGCCATTAACTACATCGATATTTGTTATTAAATTCATATTTGTCCGTCCCTCGCAGGTGACGTCATCACAGACTGGCTTGGATGGGCCTGAGTTTGACTCGAGCAGCCTGGGTCCCAGCTGCCTGTCCGCCTCTATGGCCCTCAGCCAGCCTCACCTGATCGGCAAGCGTGCAGGTGAGCAAAGGGCCAAGGGGCGTGTGGTGTGCGGTTCCTACCACGTGTAAGGTACCATGAGCGTAGTGTGTGGTTCCTATCAACCATAAGGCACCATGCTCGCAGTGTGTGGTTCCTACCAATTCAAAGTTAGAAAGAAACCTGGTAATTATTATGTAAATGTGTGAATATTTTGGGAGTGCGAGCTTGCTGATATAGGTCCTGAGTATAGGTCTCTTCGTTACGTTTCACTGGTTCAACGCAGTCAATGCAATTTATTATCAGAGCTTATTAAAATAGAACGCTACAGGCTGCAGAAGTGTTACGGTTAGACCTCAGACTCTTTTGAACTGATGCACTAGATATATTCTCATCAACGACTCGTGTGTGGTTATTGCGCAATTTTAGCTCAATCACAATGTTAAAGTAATTACTGTACGTTAAGTCCTATTACACTTCTTGAATGATCTATGAACTAAATATTAATACGAGGTTCCTAGGACTCAACAAAATACTTCTGATTGCTTTAAAGAAGCATCTGGGTGCTTATTAATAAAACTAATGCTTTGGCTTATATTTGGCCAATGTTGAGGACGATAGCTGCCGCTTGAAGAGTGGAGACAGAGCGTGCAAATATGATAAAACTACACATGATTAAGTAGATAAGAGAGAGAAATTAGAATTTCCATGTATGACCTCGGTGTCATACTGGCTACTGGTTTGTAACCAAATTAAGATGAATGCTAGGAAATGGAGTAACAATGCTGTAGGTACATTTTTTACCATTCCGAGTGGTAACTGCACCTTGTTTTGAGGGTGTATGATGTACCGTCGTATGAATATTATTCATCATCAAGTATTACATTTTCTTGTTGTAAAACAAGGCTGTTTGAGACAATTCAACAGAAAAACTCTAGACGCGAAGAACGAGATTCAGATTAACATAATTTGGTCGTTTTATCCGATCTGATTAATTGGAGAGAGATTTCCTCCTGGGAATAGTCAATGGGAAGTGGAACCGTAATGCCACCAAAGCCGTTGTTGGACTGCAGCTAAATCAGCTGAGATATCGTGTAGAAGATCAGGGTAAGGATTGCTAGCCCAGGGAATCCCTACGAGTTGAATGCGACTAATCGAATGACAATTTGTTTGTGTATCGTTCAATACGTTGTAGTATTGCTACCAAAATATGGAGCTGCACATGCCTGAAACTGTAAATTTTTGTTGTGTTTCATGGTGAACGTTTTACTGAGCGTGTTTACTGCAGGCGGAGTGGTGGTGCGATGCGAGGGCGAGCAAGGGTCGCTTGACGTGCTGCAGCTCACTGCAGAGTTCCCCTCCGCTGCCCTCAGCGGCTCTTGGTCCAGCCTGCCCAGCGCCATCACCACTGCGTCGTCCGACATGTGCGTTACATTTTCTTGAACTCCTGGCTCAGCATGCCTAGCGTCCATCAGACCCTTATAAACCTATTAAAGCACAGCACTTCTCATACCATGATATTATCAGCGTGCTGACCCTCATGTGACCTTATTGCGTATCTCCCTTGTTCACTTATTTCCCTCGATGCTTTCTAAGCATACCTTGTCTTATCTACTTGCTGGGTGCAATTAATAAATTACCTTCCTATTAAATAGTAACTCCTAATTTCACTGTTGTGCTCTCAACGGCTCAGTTTTCGCGCTTTTCTTCATTTGCCTTCTCTTTATATTATTACTTCGAGTGCGTTTAATTTTTATCGTGTACAGAGCGGACATCACGAGCGAGACGTCGGGAAGTCACAGCGTCGGCGAGAAGAGGAAGCAGGACGGCAAACCCGCGGCATCCTCCTCCGCCCGTGCCTCAGCGGCCCCCGCCAAGCGCTCCAAGCAAGACCTCGCTCACTGAGCTGACCAGGACGCTACACGTTTACCGTTAACACTAACCCGTAGTTAGACTTTATAATGCCTCAGAGAAGGTCATCTTTTTTTTCGACAAAGCTTCAATTCCTGTAACCTTTCGGGTGGTCATGAACGAGTACCTAGTAAACTCTGACGCCGGTAGTGACCGCAGTTTCTGTTTCCAGTGCGGGTATCCGCTCGGTTTTACTCAAACAAGATGGATATAGAGTTTAATCCAACAATAAGATAAGATCTTGATTATTCCCACCTTTTTCAACTCTTTCTCACTGATGAGAGAGTGGGAAAAGATGTGAGCACGTGTTGAGCGATTGTTTATCCACCATCAGCAGAAGCACTTGCTAATAGTAGAAGAAATTGTGTGTAGACCCTCGATTAGCCTATTTTTATTCGAATTTTGTTCGTTGTACTCGTTTTAATGCAGCAAATGTAATGTACCAAACTGAAAATATTCTAGGGTTCTTTGGCATTTGATGCTTTCTTCAATCAACTCTAACCATCAGTTACGCAGATATCGACCCGAAGTATGCAGGTTTAAAATCCCAAGCGTTATCCCTCTTTGCACGGATATCAGTTCATTATCCCTTCTATTTTAATCCCTCATTACACGTCTGTTCGTTCTTTATCCCTTATGTGTTAAACATTTAACAGGAGTTCTCCAGTGCTTGTTCATCATAAGTATTCAGATAGACGCTAATTAGCTTCTCATCCAGTCTCGGTAGGTGTGAAGCGTGAAACTCGAGTACGCTTAGAATTAGTATGAAGAGTTATATAATGCAATGGCCACTTTGGTCGCTCCTTGCCAGAAACCTTTATTCCTCTCAGTGTTTTATTTTCCTCTTAACCAAAATTTGTTCGGCTCCGTAGTAATAGTAACGCTCGTTGATTACACGAGCGTTAGAAGATTATTACACGGTGCCACAACGATCTAGCCTTGGTGGAGAGGAACGTTCATTTGATTGGACCAGAATTAAATTGATGCAGCTAATTGAAATTATAAATCAACAATTACTGGGATACTAAGGTGATACCATCTGGACGAAAAATACATTTAATTAACTGGAACTTGAAACAGTTACACATAACTGTTCGGCTAGACCTGCATCGAATAAACTTAATGCTGCAATAAATAAGGTCCTTTTAAAAACATGATTTTACAAATGATTGTTACTTTGCTTGCCCATACTTGGCTTTGTCTACAAATGTTTCAAGAAAGGATTACACATAACACAGATCCTTAATCTAATCATTTTATCTACATCGTTCCATACTTAAAGAATGCTTCGGCCGACAAAAATCCTCTTGGCGATGAGGCTCTTGTCACAATTTCTACTTGTTTATCCCCATGCCAAATGCCAATAGTTGGCTTGGTTGAGAAAAGAATCCTTATACAAAATAAAACTCCTTGTACGTCCGACACTTTCGCCAACTTGTCTACCACAAAGGATTGCTTCTGTTTACAAAAAAGAACTTTGCAAATGACAGGAGTAATTTGCAGTCATAATATGTACTTGTTTGCGAGTGTTAACTACATCTTCTGTTACCTATGCCTCACTCCTTGGGTTCACACAAATACGGAATTTGATGCACTTAATTTTAGACGTTGATTTCAAACATAGAATTTACTCTAACTTTTTCTTCTTCCTGCCCCTGCCGTCGATGTTGCCTGCAAGTGTGCGCTTGCCTCCCTTAACGTAGACGCAGCCCTTTGGTCTGCCCTTCTTCCTCTCGGCTCTCTCCTTCTCCTCAAGCTCCTGGTTCTCCCTCTCGATGAGCGTGATCAAAGTGTTGCAACGGCGCTGCAGCTCCAGTGCGGTGCGCGACTTGATGAACCAATCGAACCTGAACTGCGGGGCCGACCTGTAAAACGATGTTTTTCTATAAGAGTCATTCATTGTTTTTTTTTATCCACAGCAAAAGTTGCTCTACGCATCCTTTTGCCTACATGTCAAGGTACGTTGCTCATGACGCGTTATGGAGTGGAGGAATTACTCAAATTTATTGATACGATATAATGGCAGTTGTGGTTTTCACCGCGAGACAGAAGTATTGTAGTGAAAGCCGCATCGCCACTCACAAGATCAGCACGATTATTTTACGAAGGACTATACCCACCTATACCAGCATCTACTGACATTGAATCTCGTCAACAAGGGTCGTACTATAAAAAAATTCAGCGTTCTTAACTTCGTCAATTTATTACTGACGGCTTTTCATGTTAAATCAACGAATCACAAACGAGAAATCAGCCTCTAAGTGCACTTGAGCAACTTTTGTAGTACGGCTCCATGCATCAAGATATTTAACAGCACTGTAAATATATCCGTAAACAAATGGTTAGGCTCACCTGACAGCGGCTCTGAGTTCCTCGTAGACATTCTCCTTGTCAAAGCCGAGCTTGTGCAGCATGCACACCAGAAAGCGGTCTTCCTCTTCAGTGTAGTTCTTGCCCTTGTTTGTGCCGTAGCTGATGCGCAGCTGATGGAACGGCGCGCGGTACCGAGCCATCTGCACGGAACAATTATCCTTGCTACATGCATGTAAGGAGCGGCAAGTTCCCTGCATTGGACATTAGCTCTAATAAAACACTACACGGCTCTGTTTTAAATCGAACATTGATTTATAAGGCGCACGCAAGTAATCACCTTTTGATTGATAGCTTCCATGAGATCTATGAATTCACAAGTTACAAGCCATTGCAATTAGTTAAACTAGTCCAAGTACCTATTAGGTCTTCTTTACTCTTACATTTTGTCTTAAATGAGTAGTTATACAATAAAAATTGCATTCTTGGATTCGAGTCAGTGGGAACGTTACAAAATTGAGAATGCATTAATAACCCGATCATGCCACTGCTTTACTGCATGAAGTTCTCAGCAGCGGAATGAGCCGCATTGAATGGTGAACAATAATGGTAAAATTTCTTATTAGCATACATTTGGCAATACATAACTTGTAGACAAGTATTTTTTCATTTCAACTTCAGCAGAAGGCATTTCTGCTTCAGTATGTACAACGGCTCTAAATTATCCGTAGCTTCAAACCAAACTCCGCCATTGGAAGTGAAGTGTGGTAACACAATAATTAGTAAGGAATCTTGTGTGCATTTCATATGCCAAATAGTAATCTTTTTATGTTTAGATACTTTGGTTTTAACCCTTCAAATGTCGCGTTAGGTTCAAGAAAAGGCTTATGTAAAGGTTTAGGACTTTAGGTTAATGTTGAGTAAAGGTTCGGGTTCACTTCAATAGATTCACATAAGGTTTAGGTGCACCCAAATGGGCTTAGATAAGGCTTAGTTTTAGACGAGGATCACTTCAACAATTCGGGCAAGGTTACGTCACGTGATGCAAATATGAAGCAAACTAAGCGCTCCTTACCTTAGCATCGAGCGCCTTCTTGATGGACGCCCTACGCTGGATCTTAGCCTCGCCGCGCTCGATCTGCGCCAAGATTTTGTCGCAGTCTTGCAGCTCAGCGCAGCGCTCCCAGAATACCGCGCTGTACGTCATCACCTCCTCCGGCGTCTTGCCTTCCACCTCCTGCACACACACACACGCCACAATTGCTAACTACACTCAGCGTTATATAGCTCTCTGTTTGTGAATATTTTAACTAGATCTTCATACACACGAGAGATCATACATGGAAACTTTAATTCCTTTCTCTCGTCTCTTCAACCAAAGCTGCCCTTGCACAGTCACTGAAATGCGTCACTGCAAAGGCAACCCCAGTGCTTGCTTTAACCACACATGTTATTTACTGCATTAACTTATTACCGTCCCAGTTTCATGACCGGTCCATCTATTGTACTCGACAATAATTCACAGGAGAATGAATATCAGACAAGAACGTCGCACATTTCCATGTAAATCTTACAACGACTTAGCGAGACAATGATGGGTGGCCATTCATGAAACAAAAACTATTGGAGCAGGACTTGAATGAAAGATATCCAAAGACCCCCTTAATCACAAACAAATTAAGCTGTATAAGACGTTATCAGCAGACAACTTATAAAGTATATAATACGCCAACACGAAATATTTGGGGGAGGCTATACTACGGTGACCCTATTGTCATTCAGCAACACATGCATGACGCAAACAAAGGGCCCACCTTAGCGATGTTCTCGATGTCATCTCGGCCGTACTTCTCGTTCGCTTTAATGAACTGATTGAAGTCTCGCTTGGTCCAGTTGAGGAAGCCCTTTGTGAGGAGACTATCCCGCTCCTCCAGCTCCTCCTCCGTCATCGCCTCCGCCTCGTCTATCTTGACCTGCTCCTCCTTCTGGATACGTGTCGAGTCAGCGCCGAATTCAGGGTTTTTAGGGACCTGCGCACAGGAAGAATTGCACTTATTAAGATCAGCTGCCAGACTAATCTGCGTCACCTACCACACCTCCAAACACCGAGAGCAAACACAGAACACAACACAAGTGGTAAGGGGGGTGAACTCCTCGTGTGGCTCGTGCGTGACCATCTTTCTCAACACAAATACAAGAAAATTTCATACAAACCTGTCACATTTTCAACCGAGATGCCCTGGTCGTAATGCTTGTCAACTCCCTTCATAGGAAAAAACTAGCGGTATTCGAACAAAAGCGCCTGACATGACAGCGCCCAAGGAACCGCGACATACGAGTTCTATGGCAGCCGTCATTGCAATGAGTTCCTAAACGATAGTTTGTTGGGGTTGGAAACTATAGGCTGTAAGGCGATTAATATTCCGTCCTCCATGTAAAGGTCATTCAAAATTTTGATAATTAATTTCCTAAGCTTTGTACAGGATTCAGGGTTTATGTGAACTGAACGCAAGCACTGCATGTCCAATAAATTCCATAGAGCTCAATTTTTTCTTTAAATATGCAGCTCAGAGGGCATTATGAAGCGCTTCCAAACTACGCTCATTTCTTCAAACATTAGAAAATGGCAGCTAATCCATGGATCCACACGCAGCTGCTAATCCATGGATGATTAAAAACGACGATAAACTGATATTTCATCCTCAATAAGCTGCCATGGCATCTTCAATAAGCTGCCATGGCATCCTCAATTATCTCGTAATAAACGTAGCACAAAGAAGTCGGCTCAGAGCTGTAAGCTTCCACGAATGGGAAATATTATTGAAAGTCATAGTTTAATAGTTATAACGCTGAACGTGGCACGAATGTTCAAAAGTCAGCAGTAGATGAAAGTAGGAACGAGGAGTGCACTTCGAACTTGCCACACCTCATGCCAGTACAGCAATGTATGACTAGCTGGATGCAATTTTACAGTTCCGATTCAGATCAGTTCCACCCAGTCGCTCAGAATCGATTGACTACATATCTCAAATATAAAATTCTACCCTTTTTACCTCCCTAGTTCCTTTAGGTAAAATTTCAAAGAGTGAATATCCTCACAACACATACAAATGAATCTATTCCACCTTGTGAATGCATTCCACCCTGAGCGCTAGCAAGGAAACGAACCTTGTACGTACTAGTAACAGTCTTTCAAAAGTTTTAGAAAAACATCATTCACTTCGCGCCGGAAGTGCAAAGTTCAGTTGTGTCAAAAAAAATTATTCCCGTCGGTGGTCCAGGCTCGCCGCATGATCGTTTTTGGTGGGGAGGCTCGGAGCCAGACTCTACGTTCCCATGGCAGGGGCCAAGTCTTGCCATCTCAATTAAATATAGCGTTTAATGTCGAGGGTGAGGGTTCGTCTGCGTGATGTGCTAGTAACTTGTGGATGTGTCAAGGATGAGATCTCGTCTGTGTGATGTGTTTGTAACTTGTGGATGTGTCAAGTATGAGGTTAATTGTACATAATAACTTGTGGTTACCTTGTAGGTGACAGTTTTGCGGTAGTAGTAGATCTCCTTGTCAAGCAGCTCGAAGAGTCGCGGGGGGAAGAACTGGAAGTCCTGCACAACAGGCTGCTTTGGTGGACGAGGTGCCTGCGCAATACAAAAGAACGCGATCATATTTGTGTCATGAATACAAATTAACTTGACGAGATCTGAACATAAGAGAAGGTTATGGAATGAGGAGATAAGTTGCTAAATGTTGGTAGCTCATATCATTTCTCTCAGTTGCAACATGTAAATTAAAGACACAATCTTTTATTTAATCTCTATCTAAAAATCTAACTATAGGAAATCAGCATTATCAATTAATAGCTCACTACTAGTCTTCATATTAAAACAATGAAATCGGTAATTGCAATTTTTGGCTAAGATTGTCAAAGCTGCATTTTGAAGGAACGAATGGCGCAAGTGGGAGACCACAGCACGAGTGGTGCTTTGCCACAGCAAAACTAAGCCTTCCAGAGTATCAACATGAATCTGTAATTAATAAATTCAGTTCAATGCAATATTATAGTTACATCTGTAAATTAAGTCGCATTAACTTAATTAATTAATCTCTAATTAAGTCGCAATGACTTAAGTAAATTAAGTCAATAATTCATAGCACAAGACAGTTAACATGGTGCCGTAAATTGATTAAACTTGCTTCTAGACGAGTCAAGAAATCAATTGTACATATGGATTCGGTTCCAGTATTTTCAGTGCCATTTTAATTTACGTACAACTTATGAGAAATTGAGAAGAGACAATCCTCAAACAACCTGATTGATAACAGATCCCTGTGTCATAAGAAAATAAATAATTCTAGGTCCACGGCCATTTGATCGCCACAATTTGTTAACTATCAAAAGAGTTCAAATTTTAACGTGCCTGAATAAAAAATGGCACTAAGGCGCTCAATATTGCGAGATTACTGCAATAAGTAAACCAGGGCTTAAGATATTCTATAAATACAAATGATAATTGAATGAAAATATATCTATGCTCGTACCTCATAAAAAATGTCAACTCAATACCACAGTTAAATTTGTAAGCGATGAATGAGGTGAGGTAAAAAGATTAAGATGTTCTCATACAAACATTTCAGTAACGCAGATCTACTATCAGTGGTCTAGAAATTAAACGCAAAACTAAAATAACTGCGACGAGAGCATCAAGTAGAATTTACTACAGATTTGCTGTTCAGTGCAAAGTTGTCACGTGAATTTGGGACCACATAAACACATGAAAGTTTATCTTGCATGAAAGATGTTTTGGTGCAAGACACCTCATTGTTATAGCATTTCCTAAAGTCAGCTAGCATCACCAGAAAATTACGGATGATACCGAGATTATTGATCAGAAAATCGTCTCAAAAAATGATAGCACCGACAAAAATAACACTCACCTTAGGTGCCTTAGGTTCGGAGACCCTGAGCGCTTCCCTGAAGTAGGCGTCCACGGCGTAGTTGGCTTTACGCTCGCGCTTAGGCGGCTCGATCCAATTACCCACAATTGCCTTCTGCTTCTCCCTGCACAGCTCAAATACTTTAGGACTTATGATTACACTGAAGCAATGTACGGGGAATGCGATTACTGACGCACGTGATTAGGTGGGGAGTGTGTTGTTGCATGTTGTGATTAGGTGGGGATGGTGTAGTGGCATGTTGTGATTAGGCGAGGGTGGTATAGTGGCATGTTGTGATTAGGCGAGGGTGGTATAGTGGCATGTTGTGATTAGGTGAGGGTGGTATAGTGGCATGTTGTGATTAGGTGAGGATAATGGCGATGCTTGCAAGGTTGGAGTGTGGTAGCTGCTGTAATGCGGTGAATACTTAGCACAAATGTGGTTCTAGTTTCAAAGTAGTAAGTAGGATATAGACGATGTGTGACGCTTGTTTATGTAATGATAATGTATGTTTTGGTATTGTGCATGTTGAGAGGAGGTGTGGCGCATGCTGAGGAAAAATGTAATAAAAATACAAACATATATAAAGATATTCCTTAAGAAAGTTCACGAAGTCCGAGAATGTGAAATAAGCTGGGTAAAAAATGTTTAAGAACATAAGGAACCTTAAAAAAAAATTGAAAAAAAAAAACAAACTCGTGCAGCACTAAATGAGACGAGCTCACCTGTAGTCCTCGCCCTCAAACTGGTAGACGCTCTCGCTAGGCACATCCAGAGTGAACTGCCGCAGCGAAGACTCGCCGAGGTCGTCGAGCTTCTTCTGCAGTTCCTCTGTCTGTAGTACAAGAAAAGGTTAATAATCTCATCATTAGCTGCAGCTAGTTACTTAGTGGCTGCAATGAAGAGCGGGCAGACAAGTGGCAAGTAACAATTGAATAAATTATAAAAGTAGGTAGTGCTTTGTAACAGATAGTAATAGAATAAGCAATGCAAACATGACTAGCAAGTCACATTCACTCTGTATGAATGCATCAAGTCTTTAATCAAAATTATGCCTGTCCAGCAACGAGATATTTTCTGATTATTACTTCAGCAGCTTAATCGATAAACTGAAGGACACACCACCTCAACAATATCATTTTCTTACAGAGAAATTTATCATTGGCAACGCCCAAACACGGCATCAACACCACCATCTCCCCCTGACATACCCGCTGCTCTCCCTGCACGCCATCACACACCCAAACCCCTGCCATACCCGCTGCTCCCCCTGCATGCTATCACACACTAAAACCCCTGCCATACCCGCTGCTCCCCCTGCATGCCATCAACACCCCCAAACCCCTGACATACCTGCTGCTCCCCCTGCANACATACCTGCTACTCTCCCTGCATGCCATCACACACCCAAACCCCTGAAATACCCGCTGTTCCCCCTGCATGACATCAACACCCTCAAACCCCTGCCATACCCGCTGCTCTCCCTGCATGCCATCACACACCCAAACCCCTGCCATACCCGCTGCTCGCCCTGCATGATGAGGTCGTCGATGTCCTGATCGGTGATCTCCTGATCTTTGCTCTTGAAGACTTCGTTGGCGCCGTGCCTGATCATGGCGAGCATCTCATCCTTACCCAGCGACGCCTTGGTGTCTTGTAGCCGGCCTGCTCACGGACAGCAATGTTACCAGCCACCACTTAAATGACATCTTCACTGCATATCATGAAATAAACTAGAACAAAGCTTAGAGGAGGAACGCTTACACACCATTTATTTTTCATGAGCAAATATCTCACGTTATCTTATTTACTGGATGCACCAAACATATTTATTGTCATCGAAGATCAATAGTAGTGATCTTGAAACATCATTGCTAATATTAGGGCTCAACCACCGCGGTTAACGAAGGGCAGAGTTAGTGGGTGAGTGTGGGGCTCAGTGATGAGGTTCAGTAGGCGCAAAGGAGGCTCAGTTGGGGCAGAGTGATGAGAGAAATTACCCACCCCTCAGAGCGCTGAGGGAGAGTACCCACCCCTCAGCAGTACCTCAGAGTGCTGAGGGAGAGTACCCACTCCTCAGCAGTACCTCAGAGTGCTGAGGGAGAGTACCCACCACTCAGCAGTACCTCAGAGTGCTGAGTGAAAGTACCCACTCCTCAGCAGTACCTCAGAGTGCTGAGGTAGAGTACCCACTCCTCAGCAGTACCTCAGAGTGCTGAGGGAGAGTACCCACCACTCAGCAGTACCTCAGAGTGCTGAGTGAAAGTACCCACTCCTCAGCAGTACCTCAGAGTGCTGAGGGAGAGTACCACCACTCAGCAGTACCTCAGAGTGCTGAGGGAGAGTACCCACCCCTCAGCAGTACCTCAGAGTGCTGAGGTAGAGTACCCACCCCTCAGCAGTACCTCAGAGTGCTGAGGGAGCGTACCTACCCCTCAGCAGTACCTCAGAATGCTGAGGAAAAGTACCCACCCCTCAGCAGTACCTCAGAGTGCTGCGGGGATACCTACCTTGCTGGATGACGAGTTTGTCGAGCCTAAGTTTGATCTCGGCGCGCTCAACGAGCTTCTCCTCCATGCTGTTCTCGTGGATGAAGCGAAACACTCGCACCTGCTTCTTCTGGCCGATACGATGGGCGCGGTCCATGGCCTGTACAAGAGATAAAACGCCTTCAATCTTCGCGACTCAAATAGGAACAAATCAATAATATTAATTATCAGTACTCAGGCTGGTAACATCTTCCGTCTTTTAAAAAGAAATCTTTAAATAAATAAAGCAACAGCTACGAAGATATCGACAAATTATTGCAATACTTGCTAATGAGCACCATAGCAATGGGCTTGGTAAATTGAAATAGCATAACAAGCTAGGTCTTTCAACATAGCATATGATGCCACAAGAACTGAACAATTTTGAGCAAAATTATGACCAGCTTGAGATACAAGATCGACAGTTCTGATGGTGCAATTGATCTGCCAAATAAATTATCAACAATCGCTTCAGGCGTTGAAACGAACCATAGAAGCTGCAGTTATATGACCAAGAGACAACAGGCAACTGCAATGATGTGACTAAGCAAACAATGTTTATAGTCCACCATCTTATGGATACAACAACAATGGCCGTAAGCACCACCTGCAAGTCCATCTGTACAATATAAGATTGACCCTAAGCACCACCTGCAAGTCCATCTGTACGATATAAAATTGACCCTAAGCACCACCTGCACGTCCATCTGTACGATATAAGATTGACCCTAAGCACCACCTGCACGTCCATCTGTACGATATAAGATCGGTCTCTTATACACATCTAGATGTGTATAAGAGACAGGCTTTGTACAGGATTCAGGGTTTATGTGAACTGAACGCAAGCACTGCATGTCCAATAAATTCCATAGAGCTCAATTTTTTCTTTAAATATGCAGCTCAGAGGGCATTATGAAGCGCTTCCAAACTACGCTCATTTCTTCAAACATTAGAAAATGGCAGCTAATCCATGGATCCACACGCAGCTGCTAATCCATGGATGATTAAAAACGACGATAAACTGATATTTCATCCTCAATAAGCTGCCATGGCATCTTCAATAAGCTGCCATGGCATCCTCAATTATCTCGTAATAAACGTAGCACAAAGAAGTCGGCTCAGAGCTGTAAGCTTCCACGAATGGGAAATATTATTGAAAGTCATAGTTTAATAGTTATAACGCTGAACGTGGCACGAATGTTCAAAAGTCAGCAGTAGATGAAAGTAGGAACGAGGAGTGCACTTCGAACTTGCCACACCTCATGCCAGTACAGCAATGTATGACTAGCTGGATGCAATTTTACAGTTCCGATTCAGATCAGTTCCACCCAGTCGCTCAGAATCGATTGACNAAAAATAGCACTTCAAAAAAGACAAAAAAGTTGAAAAAATCAAAAAAATCAAATAAATCAAAAAAATCATGAAAAAATAAAAAAATCATTGATTTTTGATTTTTTTGATTTTAAAAAAAAAATAAAAAAAATCGCCAACCCTGGATGGCATGAACAGGAACTTGGTGCTGCGGCACAAGGATGTGTCATGCTTACTAGCGTGAAGTGATGAGTGTGATGCATGATGGCATGAAGATTAGACGCGGAGTAAAGTGGCTTGAAGGTGACGCTAAAATATGTTGTCATGGATTACAGTTGATTTCTAAAAAAATTGATAATATCATAACTTTATATCTGGAGAGCAAAAAAAATTTTATAGACCTTTATCAAAACCGTCACCATGACAAAAGCTGCCGTCAATTCGACAAGACTTGTGTGGCGTGCGGCAGACAGGATGTATACTCACGAGTCAGGCGCGTTGTACTCGTCTATCTGTCTCTGTCTGTCCTCATGTGGCGTGCTGCCGTCTATACGACAGTAGGAGTAGCCCCTCCAGTGGGCATAATCTTCCAGGATGTCCAACATGCGCGTCATCTGCGAGAAGATCAACACCCGCGACCCCATGGCCTGCATCTTGGGCAGCAGCTTGTCCAGTACCACCATCTTGCCGGAGTTCTCGACCTGCCAAGAGTTCATTGCAAGTCACTGATACATGACAATTAAGGATTCTAATATACATTCATTGTTCATCACCACCATCTTGCCGGAGGTTTCGACCTGCCAAGAGTTCATTGCAAGTCACTGATCTATGGCAATTAAGGATTCTAATATACACATTCATTGTCCAGAACCACCATAACGTCAAAAGGTTTTTAGAATCTTTTCTGAGTCCCTGATCACAAATCATGGTTACTCAAGTCGATACTTTGCTATGTCCTAGAATCTCCCATGTCTCGTGGCTGATTTAAGCTCGTTCTTTCACGTCTGTGGTATAATATGTAATGACAAAATCAATGTAATTTTTTTACCACAAACAGCTACTACTGAAGTGATGAAAACTACGAGCTTAAATGGCGTGTAAACCACGACGTTCACTAAATTCACTTCATGTTAGTGGTGGGGTGCACCCCAAAAGCCACCAGGTGGTAGTAGAGGGTGAGCCCCATAACCCACCAGATGGTAGAGATGGGTGCACCCCACAACCACCAGATGGTAGAGATGGGTGCACCCCACAACCCACCAGATGGTAGAGATGGGTGCACCCCACAACCCACCAGATGGTAGTGATGGGTGAGCCCCATATATAGTCAGATGGGGTAAGACAGGACCGAAATCACTAACAAGCATGTAGCATCTATACCATGAATAAATAAAAAACCCAAACCTATCACAAAGTGTAGTTATGCAATGGGCTTCTAAGCTACAACTCAGACTTTCTGCATACAACATAGTTTTCTGTACAGATTAAAAAAAGTGAGCTGGTCCCATCTTNTTATCTTTCAAATTTGAAAGAAATCCGTTCGGTATTTATGAATTTATGACTGGGTAAGTTGAAAATGAAGTCATGTTTTCCGTATTAATATAAAAGTATTTGATGTAAAAATCTGAAATAAATCTGTCCGCAAATTACTAATATTATCTACTTATATTTCAAATTTGAAAGAAATCCGTTCGGTATTTATGGATTTATGACTGGGTAAGTTGAAGGTGAAGTTAGGTTTGCCTCTTGAGATCGCGCTTGAGTTCGCGCTTGAGTTCGCTGAAGTGTCGATCCGGTATTTGGTTGCAATGTTTGTTTGGAAAGGTTTGGTGCGGACAGGACACTTATTGTTTGCCTATCTTCCCTTGCGCAGCCGTAGGTCGGTAGGTGCTGTTTAGTATGTAAAATTAGCCGTAACCGTCAGGCTCAGCCGCTCAGGTATCTCATTTGGTTACGCCTCGCCATTTACAAATAAGAAGTCATTTCATCTTGATATTTTTACACCACTTTGTGCTGATTTTCAAGATACCATGGTCAAGCAGAAAGCCTGAAAGGTATAATTTCACAAAGCTTGCTATTATTTTGGCTGCTAAAAATGCACTGGGAAAAGAAATAGCTACCTACGCCGGCTACGGTCCTACCTACCGTCAAATGCGTCAATGCCATTAAAGTCACCACCTCACTAAAGTTGCCACGCTACAGGCACAGGGAAAAAGGAAATATTTCGTGAGATGGACCCAATACAAAAATTTTGTTATAATCAGAAAAGACTAGAGCATCTTGGTCGGGGGGGGAGGGGGAGGGATAGATAATCTGCTCATTGAAGTACATATTTTTTAAGTTTATTTTTTACAGAGAAATATAGGTAACAATTACAGATAAAAATTAAGGAAAGATGTATTAAAAATAAAGTATTAGAGCGGTCAGACTGCATTATCATATGTTCAGTTGACACTTGCTGTACAATCAGACTGTTTTTAGGTTAAAATTAGTTATTTGGGGTAACACGTGCATGCAACCTTGTAAATAAGTTCGTGGCTTGTAAATAGTTTTTCATTACTCAGCATAAATGGCTTTTCATTTAAAATTACCTGGCGACGCATCTTAAAATTACCTGGCGATGCTTACGGCTTAAAAACCCATATATTGGCGACGCTGCATCCACCCTCTGTGCCCTGGTGCAAGGTTCATGGGAAAAATTAAGAAAAAATATATAGTGACAATGAATTATTATTCCAGACTTTTTTACTTTTAGTCTTTCAGATAATGTATTTTGCCATAATTTTGGATTCATTATTCATGGGAATTTTTTTATTTTTAAGGCTGAACACAGTGAACAGGAAGGTTAGAAGAATGTTTTTCCAAGAAGGAGAAAATAATTTTAAAAATATTTAGGGTTTAATTTTAATATCGTGATTTTAATGTTATTTTGAACTTGCATATATAATAAATCATAAGATATTTATTATTTTTCTTTAAAAGTTTTCATTTTAAAGTTTTAAGTGTTTGATTTAATAATTAAATTAGGGTAAATGCACCATATTCCAACACTTTAAGGACATAGCAAGAAATGAATGGCTATAAAGTTATTACCATTTGCACAAGTTCACAAACTGTTGCCATATTTATTTAATAGCCGTTAGAATTGAAAATCTACAAAATTGCTAAATTCCGACGCTGTGTGTGACTAAATTAGGCATATTGTGAGACTAATTCCGATGTCACTGAAATGTGCGTGCTGTCCGTAGACTTGTGGACAGAGCGCTTCAAAAGTCAAAACCGTAATTCGTAATTCCGATGCCCTGTGTGAGCTGTATTGGCTCGTTGGGAATACAACACAGATCGGAATGAGCTATGAGCCTGTGTGTGTCTAATTCTGAGCTGTATTGCAATTAGTTTTTATGTGTCTAAAACCGTCTCTTAAATTGATCATCTATTAATTTATTCACCACTTGAAATCAGCAAATAAATTTATACAAGTATACTTAAAGGATTCATAATATATTCACAGACTTATTCAAAAGTCTCAAACCATAATATTCTTTCTACATTCTACACAAACAGTTTATCACTATTTGGTAGAGCAAGGTCAACTATCAACTTTGACACGTTTTTTGATGTTCTCACTGGGTGACATGGGCTTCCTCTCTGAGGATCTTAACATTTTCCCGCCAAACCTAGTGTTTTGCGTAAATCCAGCGCGCAATAGTATGACGTCACTATTTCAACCATCTAAGCATGCGTGGAACTAAGACAAAGCTTAATATAATGGAATAAGTTGAGAAGTATTAGAATTATCCACGATGTCAGAATATGGTGCGTTTACCCTAATCATGTTTAAACATAAGTTGAAGAGAAAATACAGTAACCCCCTCAAAAATGAATACAAATAGATAATCTTAAATTATAATAATAATAGAACTATTGAAGTTTACATTAAATAAAAATAACTAAACAGAAAAAAATAGAATTAGAATAAAATTCAAATTAAATGAAACTCTACAATTAAATGGCAATCTAAATAAGAAAAAAATCCTACTCCAGCTAAATTTTTTTCTCTTATTTTTGATTCAAATAACTTCAGGAATTACTGGTTAAAGTAACTCAGATAGGTACTAACATTAATACCGTAAAATGGGGTAACTTAGACCAGCGGGGTAACTTAGACCACTTTGTTTTTTTTAACAAAAACCCCCAAAACTCAAAAAATATTTGACATAGAAAAATTTTGTCAATGAGCATTAAAGGTTTAGTACTGAGGCTACATAACACAATAGAAAGATTTAAAAAGTTTGCATATCTAATAGGTTGAAAAATTAAAAATGTGACCCATGAAAAAAAGCTATTATTTAAAGCCTGTCAGAGTACCCCCTCCAATTTTTTTATTTTTTGGTTAAATAACTCCAGGTT